ATTTTGGGAATGTGGGATCCCATAAGTGAACAGAGTATAAGAGACAAAACTTATTTTCAAAGAAGTTGATGATAATTAAGAAATTATCACATTCATAAGATAAAAAAGGAAAAAAACCCTACAAAACCACCCCCAAACTTCAGTGTTATTAGGGTTTTAGGTGTTGAACACAATCTCCAAAGTTTTCACATGATAAAAACTAATTGTTACATTTATCATCTCATGCAGTGCCCAGGAACTATTTTGTGATTTTTAAAACTAAACAAGTTTTCCCACTGTAGTGTTAATGACAAATTAGAAACAAATCAAGGAGTGTCTTCTGGGTGGGTTTTTTTTCCTTTTCATGGAAAAAAAATAATTTTTCATGTTTTAGGCATAGTACTTTGAAAGAAGTACTTTTTCTTAATTTTTTTTATCAGATGGATTCCAGTTGCTACTTCTCAGGGCAAAAGACAAAAAAGGATCCCTAACTGTCACACATACAGTGCAAGTTCTGTAGGTAATGCATCTGCAAACCTACCTTGATTGGTACATAAAAGATATTTGGTGTGTCTTTGTTATATTTTGATTTCATGGTTAAGCTTTGTTTTCTTCCAAGGAGTTGACTGTTTGTGCTTGTGCAGGGTTTGTGAGCGTGAAGCTGCACTGGAGTCAGCCCTAAGAATGTTGCAGCAGTTCTACCTGGACCTTGAAAAGTTCCTTGCGTGGCTTACAGAAGCTGAAACAACTGCAAATGTCCTGCAGGATGCTACACACAAAGAAAAGATACTAGAGGATGCCAAAAGGGTTCGGGAGCTCTTGAAACAGTGGCAGGTGAGTCAAGCACTGCACTTCCCTAAATGCTTTCAGTCAAGATTAGAGTTTTCCAAATGACTTGTTTTCCCCCGCATGAAGTCTCTTTTTTTCTTTCGTCAACCACACTGAATTCAGACCCTAGGAGGTAAAATAATGGTGGTTTCTTATTAAAGATCACTGTCCCTGAGTCTTTTCAAAGTAACTTTGACTGTCCAGGTTTATAGAATTCATAGAAGTTATGGTCAAATGTAACATACAGACATAGATCTGTAGTCTCTGTCTTGCACTTTATGCAGTAGACTTGGATAATGAGAACATTTTCAGCAGTCCTGAGATGGTGCAATTCTGGTTTAATATGCTCTTTTGAGGCACTAGGTACAAAACAGTGTCTTGATTCATAATTCTCTACACAAATAATGAAAAACCTAAATTTTTGAGTTCAGTGATAGCTTTATATCCCTGTCAGTACAGATGTTTGCCTCACCCTTGGTGGTCCAGCAACACATGCAAACTCTATTTTATATTTTAAAAAATTAGGTAAATACTGACTTACTGTACAGAAACGTTTTACAGAGCAGAAGTTGCTTGTCTAGGAAAATCGTTTTTTAGGAATTTGTTTTCCTTTTCATGTTCAGAAACCATTAACTCAAATGTGACTAATAAGCATTAATCTTCCCATAGTAGTTTGCAGTTCATTCAGTATCAGAAGGAGAAAGGTGAGACTTATAGAACTGCACATTCTAGTTACCTGATGATGTAATGATATTAAAAGGTTGCATTATAAACATGGTCTTTGTTTATTTAAGCATGTATTTGCATGCATCATTTGTCTGAACTGACAGCAATGTGATGCTTGAGATGACTGATGCAGTTAGAATCCTTTCTAGAGAATTTCCAAGGATACGAACCCATTGCTCCAAGGAGTTGTGTAATTATGTGCTGCTTTCTATTGTCTTGTTGAAATACATCATGTGTCCCCATGAGGCTTAGTTTGATAAGTAACCATATGAGGGAGATGCAAATAATTAATTTTACTTTCTGCTTTCATACTTCCAGTGATCTGAACTCTCAGCTGTGTTAGTTATGATCGTGGGCTGGTTTACACGACTCCAGGTGTGCTGGCAGCAGATGGGTGAAAGGATCTTTGTGCAGGAGTTATCAGGGCTCAGTGAAAGAGCTTTAAACTGTATTTGGAAGGGGAAAGGGACAAAGCCAGGATGGCTGGAGCTAGGCCTGGGGACAGCATGCCAGTGTTTGAGGGATGGTCCTTCGGTCCGACATCGCAGTGCGGGTAAGGCATGAGATCCATGTGGCTGCAGAGAGACAGGAGTTACTGATGTGTTCAGACTCCATGGAAGCACCTGAAAATGGTCACGTAGGAATTCGGGGTTCTTCCCAAAGGCAGTGGTGGGATCAATGGCCTGAATTCCAGCTCAGTGACACTGACACACACAGGTCTATAGGGTCAGGTGGAATCCCCCCGAGGGTACTGAGGCAGTGGCAGAGGAGCTCACTGGGTTGGCAAGTGTTGGAACAAGCATTGGCTTTCCAGAGAAGTGGTTGAGTCCCTGGATACCTGTTGTTTAGGGACATGGTTTAGCAGTGAAATTGGTGCCAGGTTAATGGTTGGTCTTTTCCAACCTTAACAATTCTCTGGTTCTATGAATTCCTCTTCTGCTCTGTCTTTGGAGCAATAATTGTGTGTGATGTTATACAGCTGATGTAATATTGGATATAATTTTGAAGCTAGTGTGGATTTATCCTGTTATGTTATGAATGCAATCAGTTAGTATTAAGCCTGTAGGTGAATATAATCACAGATATTTTTTCACTGAAATTTGACAAGGAATGCTATATATGGCACCTAGTTAAACAGTAACTGGAGAATGCTTCTGTGCTATATACACAGGTTACAAAATGTATCTGAAATAATCTGTGATGGCTGATGAATTTTGGGCAGTGTAGACTAAAAATATGACAGAATATGATAAATGAAGCAAAGTTAATAACTTTGGCATGAAATACATAGCAGATTTATTTTTATTGCCACCTTCATGCTCACTTAGCCTATAAGCTAAGTAGTTTTCCATTAGATGCAGGAGTTTTGCTGCTAATAGCATGAAAATACGCAGTGCCCTAAGTTACACCTGAGAATGTGTGGTATGGGCAGTGCCCCTGTTTTCTCACACTGGTGTTTTCAGCTGGAGCAAGGGACATGCAGAGCAGGCAAGGCTCTCTTGTTTCCTCTCTTCCTATCCACCCTTCTGACGTTGTTTTTGAGGTCTCCAGCTGGTTTATCTCAACAGGAAGAACTTGAGGAAGATACATGTTCCTGACACTTCTCAATTAATTAGCAGAATAGGTTCTTTAAGAGATAAAAAATTCTTGCCAACTTTATTTCAAATATAATTTACATATAATTGCCTGGCACAGTTAATTTTGTGACATGATGTATGGATTAGAAGATGAGTCTGACTAACAGGGAAGAGAGAAAGTATCTAATTCTCTTGCTCATTTCAATTGACTTTACTAAAAATATTTAACCATAATTAATTTTCAAGTACTTCCATTCTCTGTTCTGGAACACTTTATCACTCTCCATTGTGAAACACTTTCTCGGCCACTTCTGCTTAAAATTTTTTGCCAAACTATTCTCAAGTCTGGTTTAGCAGTTTACCTGCAAGTGTGTGTGATTTGTGGTTTAGATATACTAATGTAGGACCCTTTGTGATTTAAAGTTGGGTTGAAGTGAGTGCAGAAATAATAAGCTTTTGCATTATGCTTTGTGTGGAATAGCTGTTGAATCACAATAGAGCTGGAAGAGGTTGGAGGAATGGCAGGAGAGGTCTGAAATTTAACTATCCATTTTTGCCTCAGTAAATTAGCAGCTTTCAACCGACTAGATTATGTACCTAAAACAGAAGACAGTGTTTATGAACTGAGCAGAGGAAAGAATGCATTGCTTAGCATCTGGTTATTTAGAATGATACACTAACAGTCACCAGAGGTGTTGGTATGTGACTGAAAACATCTGGAACCTGATTAAAACTAATTTCTTAAATTCTGTCCTGTCTATATAGCTGAAAAGATAATGCAGGTCCAAAAGAGGCCATAAGCACCAAGAAGCATAGTTATCATTTCGGGAGATGAACGTTTTTATTTTCTGCTTTGTGTATTTTTTGTCATGTTAGAAGTCTTTATAGCTTATAGAAGCTTGACTGAAAATTTGTATCAGTCAAAAATATCTAATGTCAGGTTACACTGTTAATTTGTTGTAAAATAAACGAATTAACCCTAAAAAGCAACTATGACACTTTTTTATTAGTGCCAGAATTTTAATTTCTGGTATCTGAATCAAATATTACCATTTTTAGGGGAACTTCGCACCAAATAGTAACCAAGAAGACTAAAGATATAAATTATATCCTCTCTAGAAATACCATACAGTGTCTACTATATTAAACCAACCTAATTTCTATGTCAGTCCACTGGGTTGGACACAATTTTAATGACTTTTTTTCTGCAACTACTTCATTGTTCAAAAAACCCAAAAGAATAGCAAGACACACTTCCTAGAGGAATAAGTACAAACCCCAAAAGATTGAGTCACTTAATTTCATTGTTGGACTTCAAAGGTCTTTTGCTGGGTAAGCTTACAGCTGTCCTGCTATTTTTTGTACTGTTTATATCAAAGTGTATTTCCCTGATCTATAAATGAAGTGGCAAATCCTTTCTTCCCATAACCTGGAAAGCTGCTGGAAGCTGTGAGATCAAAGCTGTGAAACAAACCTGCTCTCACTTGTGCTACACCTGTTACAGACACCACAGTGCATTAACCTCAGCACAGCAGCTCTGCTTTTTTTTTTCCTAACTGTGACATAGTAATTCCATGTCTCTAAACTCCAGTGTGTTGATTGATGTTAAAAACCAAAATTAGTAATTTTATTTTAGCCTTTGATTTGTGGGATTTGGAATACTATGGAGGGTTAGCACCTCCTGAAGAATAATGCCAAGAATTGTTATTTCTGCAGTGGGAGCTTTTACCAAGTCATTATTTCATCATGTTGTGTTCCCTGTGGCTCCCCAGCACACCTGATACACCCCTGGGTGTTGCTGGGCTGATGCTGCCTCGGGTACAGACAGGATTGGTACCAGTTTAGTCCAGTCCTGTGATCAGGGCACGAAAGAAGAAATACCTCATGTTGTCCTTTGAGCAAATTTGCAGCTGCACTTCCATTTCCACAGCTCGGAATTCCTTGCACTAAGCCCAATCCTGGGAGATTCCACTCCTGTTGATAACAAAAGAAATTTTGCAGATCATCAACACATTGTCAGTGACTCAAGATAAAGACTCTGTGCCAAGCCTTTAGGTGAGGTGGAGGAAAGGGAGAGGAAACTATGGGGATTTTGAAATTATTTTATTTTATTTCAATTTTGAGGCTGGCTTACTTAATTTAAATATTTTTAATGTATATTTTTCTAAGATCTTTGCAACACCAGACTGGAGGTTGGCATTTTCCACATTAGACAGGGGCAAATATTTAGAATAAAGTGTGCTAGTATAAGTTAGATTTGCTTAAATTAAAAATACTTTTTGTTTTTAATTTCTTTCTTCTTATGTAGCTTCTGCTTTTTCATAGTTATATAATTTTCACTGTATGTGTTATTATTTGGGAAGAAATAGAGACAAGCTGGACCTGATAGAAATAAAAAAAAATTATTTTAGGAGTTTAGTTGAAAAACTTTGTAGAAATCTGTCTTTATTAGCATGCAGCTTTGCTGATGATTTTCTGTTTTCATTATGGCTTATAGCACTGTAAATTAATTTAACATGAAAGGATGAAAATGTGGCTTTTAAATTTTTTCTCATTAAATAATGAAAAAATATTACAATAAATAATAGAAAAGAATGCCTCTGGTAGAAGCTTCTGTTTACTCAATCACTGCTGTAGCAAGAGTGAATTATTGCAGAGCTAACTCAGGCAATATTTTTGCAGTTGTGTTACATAAAACAGATG